AATAAAAAAAATGAAAAAGAAATAGGTCTTCATTCAAATTGTAAGGATACAGTGAAGTGGGAAAAGATATGTGAAAGAATTATTTTTTAATTTTTATTAATTATAATAATACCAACATTGAAAACACTATTTAATACTAATAAATTTTTTTTTTGAACGGATTTTACAAGGGGTTGGGTTCGAATCCCAACCCTAAGGGAGGGGGAATGCACCTGGCTATTGCCACTTGATCGAAGGGTTCAGTGCATTTAATACTAATAATTTGATGATCCAAATAAAAAGAATTTAATTTTTTTTAAATAAGATATGGTGATCTAAAACAAAATAACTCGATTTTATTAAAATAAAATTTTGAATTCAAATTTCATAAACAAAAAAAATATACATTCAGAGAATTTTTTCTTGAATTTAACATGGTTATTGAATATTAAAAAATTAATAAATTTTTTTTTATAAATCAAATCCAACTTAATTTTGTATTAATTAAAATGCAATGTTGCTGTAAAGTTACTAAAAAAACATTAAACAGCCTTTGTCATTGTACACACTATAATAAAGTAATAATAGTTGAGTCCCAGACGTACATCCTTGAGATTGGCAATTAGTGTCTGAAGATAATGGATCCAGTTGTTAGCTACTCCAAAAAGGAGAGACCACCACGGCATCACCAATGGCATATACGGAAATACATCGCGAAGAGCATAAAACAACTGCTTTAACTTCGTCAGGTAACGGCGAGCGTTCCAAAATACAGTATACTTGTCTCACATAGCCCACTGTTTTCTCTCAAGCTTTTTTCGTCGGCCTTTCACCTGCTTTTCACCTGCTCTTTTTTTCTGCAAAAAAAAAGAGGCTTCCTTCTCCCTCTTCCTCCGCAATTACTCCATTTTTGTTGTTGCATTTAATGCTTCTTCACAAGAGGAGTAAATCCTCATAATCCAAAACTTGGCTTCTTTGCATCGTCTCTCTCTTTCTTAGGCTCGTTGTAAATGAAGATCCGATCTTGGGTCTGGGTTTAAGTCTAGGGTTTCCACGTCACAGGGTTGCACCGATGGCTATGAGAGGCGTCGATTTCAAGTGGTTTGTCTTCAATCTTTAACTTGGTTGAGTTTTGGGTTTACATCCAATTTGGGATTTTGATGGGTTTTTGGGAATTCTGTTCTTGCAGGTATGATGGGTTTTTCTTGTCCATGCTGGCAACAAGTGTGTATCCTTTTCTTTAGCATCAAATTTCTTTCTTTTTTCTTTTTTGAACTGTTATGGGATTTTGTCATGATGATTCTGGATGAGGGTGTTTAATTTTCTTGCTAGTACTTGTGAATAATGCTGATAGGATCACAAATTAGAAAGAAGAATTAGAGAAGAATAATAGAACCTGAAGGGAGAATCCAAGGGAAGAAGAAGAAGAAGAAGAACCAGGGAGGGAAAGAGGAGAACTAAGAGAGATAGAAATAGGGCAATTCTGTACTCATCAATTAATGCCTTACAATTACATGAGAAATCCTTTTATACTGCTAACTAATCCTAAATCCCTACTTAACAGACTAACCACTAACTAATTACAAATGAATAGCCTAAACCCATCCACATCAGCAGCTTCACGTTGGCAAGCCTATTTTGGACTCTGTCAACTCCATCCCTCTTCGAATCATCCTCGTCCTCAAGGATGAAGACATGAGAATCCTGGAATACATCCTCCATTGGTCTTATAAGCTCTTTTTCACTGTAAGTCTCAAGCCACTAACTAAAATAGCTCAATACAGTTCAAATAATTTGCTAAAACAGTTTGATTGTCAAAATTGTTGGTTCCTAGCGTTTTCCCTCAGTCATCTTTTTCATCTTTTTCTTGTTGAGTTCAATTTACTGGCAACTGGACTGAAGACTAGATATGTTCAATTTGTGTTCTTTAACGATTTTTACTTTAGAATCATTGTTGCAATCAATTGGAAGCGGTACCATCTCTGTACGTACCCACTGCACATATGGATAGTGGTGAGTTTCTGAGTTTTGAGAAAATTACTTATGTGGACTGGTTGGCCATTTGTTGTTGGGTTTGCAGGCTGGAAAATCTGCTTATACATTGTGCTTGGTGATTATTCTTTCAGGTTGATTACACTACTGTGTTTGTTTTTCGCTTGTTGATGTTCGTAGATAATGGACTTGCTGCTGGAATGGGTTTGTAAGTCCTTTATTTTCAACTCTTTAGAATACTGTTATTTACTTTTACTTTCAAGAGACTTGTTATCTTTTATCAAATATCTGCCTTGTGCTCTTACATTGCTGAATTTGGAATTTGACGTTAGGAAGTTTTTGCTAATGTATTTTATTGCCATAAGGTTTTAAGTTCCATTGATATTTATAACCATGTTGATTGTTGAAGTTATTGCATGATCATGCCATCATGTACTCAAGTAGCAACTTAGTAGCTAAGTTGCCCAAATTTACTTGTTAAAAAACTAATTTTTTACCATTTGGTCCTCATTGATTGTCAATTTCTATAATTTGCAGTCTTTTGCTATGTGGTTGCTGGATATCTTCATTATATATTGGTTTAATGTTCTAAAAGCCCTTTATAATTCGCTGAGCTGAGTTATATGTGAAATATAATGTCCTTATCTCTGACTTAATTGTTTTTAGGGATTTTGGATGGCAGCAGAGGTATGCTCGTTTTGTTGGGAGAATTGTGGTTCTTTCAATTCTATCTCTGCTTCTTTATCCATTTCTTTGGACCTGGACTATAATTGGCACACTTTGGTTCACAAGTGCTAGAAACTGTGTAAGTTATTTGTATTTCCAACCGTCAGGATCATTGTCCTAGAAGCAATTTTCTTGATGGAGATAATTTTTTAAATGCATGCAGTTGCCTGAAGAGGGTCAGAAATATGGTTTCCTCATTTGGTTGCTTTTCAGCTACTGTGGACTCCTCTGCATTGCTTGCATGTCTATGGGAAAGGTTAGTTGTGCTTAGTGCAATGCCTGTAAACAATTCAACTATAATTTAGTATGTTAGTTATGTGCTGTCTTTGTAGTTGTTTCTTTACTGCTAGTATCACTTATTCTGGTTGGCCTAGAATCATCAAAAGATGTTGGTGTTATTGATTGGTCATTAAGTTAACTTTCTGATTGTCATTAATTTGAATTTCACTTCTACAGTGGATGACCCGAAGACAAGCACACATGTTGCGTGCTCAGCAGGGGATTCCTATTTCAGAATATGGGGTGAGCTCTTAAAAACTCAACACCTTGTCTTCTCAGGCTAATTCAACAAACTTGGTCTTATGATCTATGTGTGTCTTAGAAGTGTGCTATTGACGACCCTGTTTATCTGAATGTGTTGTGGTATATAACTTCCTAACTATACTGTTAAATATTAATCTGGATAAAAGGACACATTATACATTAAGCGCAAGAAATATAGAAGGAATCATTGTTGAGGTACTTCATCTACAAGGCATTTTTTATTTTGCTCCACTTCCCTATTGAAACTGGAAAAACTTAAATATTGAAACTGGTAAAATACTTGTGCTGGTTTCAGTCATTACTTCCTCATGACACTTTTACCGAACACAATTCAGGTTTTAGTGGACATGATACGAGTGCCAGATTGGGCATTTGAAGCTGCAGGTCAGGAGTTGAGAGGCATGGGTCAAGATACAGCATCATACCATCCGGGACTTTATTTGACTCCAGCTCAGGTAGGTGCTTAATTAGTATGGGCAAAATGGGCATTCACTTCATTATATCCTCTGTTGTGCTGATACTTCCTTACGGAGTTGAAATATGCAAGCTCATGTTATAAAATTTCCACATTATTGGCTATCCAAAATCACAATTTGGAAGCAGTTCAGAACTTTAGGTGAGTTAGGGGATTAACCTTGAGAGTTGGAATCAATATTCCAGTAGTACTGTCCATAAACTGATCAAATATGGGAAACTGACTCTCGTCCCCAACCTCACATTCCCTTGCTTTGTGCTTATCCTTATGTATGCATTTTGGGCATAAAATCTAAACTAGTATCCTATAAGGAAATCATACGTAATTATTTTATTCAGATGACTGGTTCTTGAGCTTTTTTTTCATTGTTAGTTGTGATTGTCTCTATCTGGGTAATCTTATTGCACAATTTTGTTTTGGGTATGTGCACAGAGAGAAGCAGTGGAGGCACTAATTCAGGAACTTCCAAAGTTCAGGTTAAAGGCTGTTCCAACTGATTGCAGTGAATGTCCAATATGCTTGGAGGAGTTCCATGTAGGGAATGAGGTAATAGCATTTTTTGCCCAATTTTTTAGGCTTTATTCTCTCCCATTTGTTTATTGTTCTTTACCATTCACCATGCTTTTAGACTTCCAAAATACATGTTCCCTAAATCAGATGACTTTATACTGATAGCCAACCATATGCAACCATGACCCTAATCTGGGGCCTTTTTGGAAATGTTGAAGCCTGCCACATATGCAGACCATTGAAAAATGGAAAGTTTTTCTTTTAATGTAGGAAAAGGGGAAACTAGTCAAGGATTTTACTCTGATGTGATTTATACTAGTTGGTTGTTATGTGCAGAATTGAACTTGCTTGTGCATGAGCATGCTTTTCTAACTTTGTTAATGGCAATGAACTGTAGTTTCTTACGATAACCTTTGCAGGTTCGTGGCTTGCCCTGTGCTCACAATTTTCACGTGGAATGCATTGACGAGTGGCTCAGATTGAATGTGAAATGCCCACGATGTCGTTGCTCAGTCTTCCCAAACCTTGACCTCAGTGCCTTGTCCAACCTTCGCAGTACTGATTCAGAACGTTCATCAGCCAGTGTAGTAACAACCACACGGTATGTGAGAACCCAGCCATCCAGCCAGAGCTATCTATTAAGATTGCAGGGCTTACTTCGCCCGGTCCGCACAGAGAATGCAGGGCCACCAAATGATGCAGATGTTGTCTTGGAAACTGCTGAGAATGGAGGTGTGCCTCTGGCAACTCAGGATTCAAGAGGCTCTGAACCACTGCCAGGGCACACAGTTAGAGATCATTCCACTACTCCATGAGAATGAACTTTTCCTTGTTCTTCTCCGTTCTAATTGTTGCCACAATCTTCTAACCACCCATGTAGAGAAGCTAGCCAATGTTTGTTCATGGCTGTTGCTTAATGCTTGAACCGGATGTTTGGTGTAATGAATGATCCATTAACTGATATACTAGCTTATGATGTTGGTAATGCAAAAGTTGTCATCATGTTTAGCCCAAGAATGCTCATTCTCTGGTGAATTCCAAATCTGGTCTAGTCATCAGGTTGATTGTTGATTAATTTCACTTTTAGGCTAGACTGATAATATGATTGATATCCTCTGCTAATGCTTTGAGGTTGTCTTTTTATTCAGTCAAACGGGAATGGGGGGCCAAACCAAAATCAATGTACACTTACGTCTTTGTGGTCTAGCTTGTTTAACAGCGTCTGCTTGTGTACTGTGAAGGGGACCCAAAAACATAGTTCTCCACCACTTGTCCAAGCCTCAGGGTCACAGGATATAAAGGGTAACACCTCCCACTTGTGTTCTGTGAAATGAGT